ATCCAAATACTAGCCAGAAATGACCTCGCTTAGCTTCTGAGATTGAGCTAGCCTGGCATATCCAGGTCAGGGATTTTAAAAAGACAGAAGGGTGGAAAGCAGATTCTTTAGGCCATGATGGAAAGGTCGAATCTCCATTGCATCATATGAAGAATGCAAGCAGGCTGTTGGCTTCACTGTATTGCTGGAGTGATGTTACCTTACAGCACAATCCCTGGGCAACTGTATTCACTCCAAGTCCTCTGAGCCTTGTTCTTTCATTGAAAGATAAAAGCCATCCCAACCCAAGCCCATCCAAGACTCTTCCAAATTTCCAGTCAAGAAATACAGCTGTCCAGCAGGCTGAAAGGAATGAGAAGCACCTTACAGTCTCATTTTCTTGTTCAGAGTCAATTACAGCCAAATTAGGTGGTATTGCCTGTTTTTAGATGTGCCTCAGATCTGAATTAAGAGCAACTAGACATGCTCAACCCATTTTGTGCCTCTGCTCATTTTCATGTGATTGGGTGTTTATGCAAATGCGTGCTCCAGTGGTCTGGGGTGGGGCAGTCTCTACTTCTGGCAGAAGCTCCTCCTCAGAGGCAGGCAGGGTCGTTGAATTTTGAGATTCCTGGAGGGGAGGTGTTTCGCTCCCAGGTCCTAGTCTTAGCCGTGCCTGCAGGGCACTTAGATGTTGCTGACTGTGCTCTCTTGAGCACCAAGATTTCAAAGAGTTTTTTTGTTTCTCCTTTCCCATTATTTTTTAAATTTTCTTTCTTGGTCGGCCCTCCCTTGACTTCTTCTCCCCCCTTTCCTTGGGCAGTTGCTAGGGGCCCCTGGGAGGTTTTGCTGGCTGTCCCTCAGGAGGTGCAGAGGCCCTCACCCCCCCCATCTAGGCACCTACTTGTGAGTAGGAAAGGAGCTGTTTTTGTCAGCTAAGGGGTAAATGCAGGGATTGCTGTGGCAATCTGGATCAATTAGAACCGGGTCCACACTGGATCAAACTGCCTGTCTGAGTGTAGGCCATGATTCCAATGAGTCTCACTCCTCTGACTTTTCCTCTCTGAAAGAGGAAGGAGAACTACCAGATGAGGAAGAACCCTTAGGTACCTCCACACAGACCTGTCTTTCCCCCCAGGAGTTCTTTGCGGAGCTCCTTCCAAAGGTTCTACGTATCCTGGAAATCCCTTTTAATCACAAGGAGGCAGAAGCACCTGATCTGAACAGACCTGCTGGTTCAGCCAGAGCCTTTTCTTCAACAAGGTAGTCAAAGCTGAGTGGGGGATGCCAGTGAGATCCAAGCCCAACCGTCCCATTATCTCTCAATTCTACTGCTTGGTACCAGATGCAGCTGAGTGCTTCAAGCTTCTGTTAGTGGATATTCCAGGTGCCAACCTGTGTCCCAACTCAGTTTTTTCCTGCAGAGGCCCTTTTCCTCCAAGAGACCCTTATGACAGAAGGATTGAACCGTCCTTTTGCAAGAGCTTTGAAGCTTCATTGACTGCCCTCAGGGCCTCCAGAGCAAGCTCATTCTTTTCTGTGGCAGTCAGTTCCTGGGCCTCAGACCTTTTGGCAGCAGTAAGTGGCATCTCCAAGGAGCACAAGGATGAGCAAAAGAAAGATCGCCCTTACAGCAGCCTTTTGTGAGGATGAATTGCTGGACTCAGTACAGCTATCAGCCAGACCTATGGCATCCAATGCTAGAGCTAGATTTAACACCTGGCTCCACAACTGGGAAGTGGGCCCGTCCTCTCAAGCTTGGGTGGCTAGCGTTCCATTTAAAAGCATTCATCTTTGTGGCGAAGGAATGGCTCGATACCCTGGTTGAAGACAAAGATTAAAAAAAGGTCTTTGCCCTCACGGAAGAGGGAACGCAAGCCCAAGAAACACTTCCATTCCATTCACGAGTCCAAACACACCTTTGGTTTCAAACCTTCAAAACCCACCAACAGGAGATTTCAGCCCACATAGTCAAATAGCACTAGATCGTTCTTCCACAGGCCGGACCACACAGGGTCTCCAAAACAACCCAGTGACATGACTACTACAGGGACTCAGACCCACCAAGTATAGAAGGACATCTTCAACTGCAGCCCATTGGGAGTTAACCATGGGCGACAGGTGGGTTCTGGATACGGTCACGAATGACTACTCTCTGGATTTGTACTCCACTCCACCTACCAAATTCATACAAATCCCAAGGAATTGTTGCCCAAGGAGGCACCTTCTTCTTCAGGCATTACAGCATCTACTAGATATTGGAACAATAGAGCTGGTTCTGCAGGCCCAAAAGGCATTGGGGTCTACTCAGTCTTCTTTGTAGTTTCAAAAAAGTAAGGGGATGTGAGGGTCATTGTGGATTTGAAATGGCTAAACAGAAGAAACAGAAACTCTCAAATACATAGTCTCATTGATTCAAAAGGGGGTCCTCCTGGGGTCAAGAGATCTGTCAGAGGCTTATTTACATATTCCAATTCTGAAATCCCATCAGAAGTTCCTAGTAGGGGCATGTATTTGGTTTATCCAAGCTGAAAAAGTACCTTACAGGTATTTCTTGAGTATTCACGAATCTGTATCTATATTTGGCTACTGATATAGCTGACTCCAAAAAAGCCAAAAAAATTTTGGCTTTTATTTGGGTGCATTCAGCTATAGAAGGCATTTAGCTTGGAAAAGGCTAAATTTGCAGATGACACGAAGTTGTTCAGGGTGGTGAAAAGCAGGGAGGATTGTGAGGCACTCCAAAGGGATCTGTTGAGGATGGGCGAGTGGGCATCAACGTGGTGAATGGGGTTCAATGTGGCCAAGTGCAAGGTGATGCACACTGGAGCCAAAAAGCCTAACTATAACTATAAATACACATTGATGGGGTCCGAACTGGCAGAGACTGACCAAGAGAGAGATCTTGGAGTCGTAGTGGATAACTCACTGAAAATGTCTAGACAGTGTGCGCTGCAATAAAAAAGGCCAATGCTATGCTGGGGATTAGGAAGGGAATTGAAAACAGATCAGCCAGTATCATAATGCCCCTATATAAATCAATGGTGCGACCTCATTTGGAATACTGTGTACGGTTCTGGTCACCACACCTCAAAAAGGATATTATAGCTTTTGAAAAAGTGCATAAAAGGGCAACTAGAATGATAAAAGGGTTGGAACACTTTCCCTATGAAGAAAGGTTAAAGTGCTTGGGGCTCTTCAGCTTGGAGAAACAACGACTGAGGGGTGACATGATTGAGGTTTATAAGATTATGCATGGGATAGAGCAGGTAGAGAAAGAGGTACTTTTCTCCCTTTCTCACAATACAAGAACTTGTGGGCACTCAATGAAATTGCTGAGCAGTCAACAAGGTATAGATAGGGGCTCTGGGGCAAGTGATGCTCTGTCTTCTTGGTGCTTGGGGGGGTCAACAGTGGGAGGGCTTCTAATGTCCTGGCCCCACTGGTGGACCTCCTGATGGCACCTGGTATTTTTGGCCACTGTGTAACGGAGTGTTGGACTGGATGGGCCATTGGCCTGATCCAACATTGGCTTCTCTGTTCTTATGTTCTAAAGAGATTGCAATCTCCAACAAGCTCTGCTGCCGCAGCAGGTCTCAGTGCATGAACTCAGAAGGCATATGCTAAGTCACACTTGACAGGGGCAGAGGCACTTGCTGAGTTGTGCCGCTGTGCTTGGAAAAGGCAACAGGCATGTGAAGGGACTGTGGCCTCTTTAAATGCCTACTCCTCTGAGCCCAGCTGCCATGGCAGCAGGTCTGAGCTAGTGAGCTCAGAAGGCATTTGCCTTCTGTGTTTATTTGCTGAGTCATGCTACTGCTGCCGCACTTAGAAAAGGCAATAGGCATTTAATAGTTTGTTTGAAATAGGTTTGTTTCCTTTAGGAAATCTTCCCTAGGCCATAAGGTCTCCATTAGCAGATGGGTCAGAGACTGCATTTTCCTGGCATAAAAGTCCAGGGGACTGGATCCCCCTTTGGGTGTTAACAGCCCATTCCCACAAAGAGGCAGTGACCTAAGCAGCTTACTGGTCCTACCATTCCTTAGATGTAGTCTGTTAGGGCCACCACCTGGAAGTTGGCCCACTCATTTACCAGGCATTACAGCAGTGACAAAACGGCTTCAGGTGAGGCCGCTTTTGGAAGAAGAGGGTCTTGCAAGCATACCTTTTCAAGCTAAGGAGCCGAGATTCTTTCCTTCCCTGGGACACACTGCTTTTTTATGTTCCAGCTGTAGAGATTGCCCCACCCCAGACCACTGGAGAATGGAACGTTTGTCTCACTTGCTGTGAATCTTCCTTCTCATTGGTCCTGGGGTGGGGCAGTCTCTTCTCACTCAAGGGCAGAATTCTCTTTCTCAGAAGGCACTTGAGCTGGAGTAGGTATGCTGCTACGACCCTATGGGGCTTCAATGCTTCAGTTTCGGGTTTTCCCTGAACTGGTCAGCCTCTCTGAGTTCTTCACCCTGTTCTCTGTCTGGTTTTTTTGGGTTTTTGTGGGACCATTTTATTGGAGGTCCATTTTCATCTTTTGGAGAGGTAGTGCTTCATGACCAGACTGAGCAAAGCCCCTCCCCTCCAGGAATCACAAAGTTTAGGGGCCCTGCCTGCCTCCAGGGAGGATATTCTCCCCACAAGTAGAGACTGCCCCACCCCAGGACAAGATTCCCTGTGAGACAAATCTTCCGTTCTCCTCTATGTTTTCTAACCAAAGAAACCTGGGGCTGAAATAGCCATTGTCTTTTTCCCTCCCTCACTGTTCTCTGCTCAGGGTGGGAGGAAATAGATTGTATCCCTGTTGGTATTCATTGTGTCCTTTGTCTGCATTTTCTTGAAGCGTACAGGAAGACTACTCTGGCTTTTAAAAGGGTAGGAGGAGGCAGGAGGGCCTGTTGACCAAGGAGAGGGTGGCAGAGGTGGGAGGAGGCCATGACTGGCAGGAGAAAGGAAAAGAACAGGCCAGAGGGTGAAATTCCGTAGCTGATGCCGTTTCTCTTCTTGTCTCCTCATCTTTTCCCCAACAGTAAATGTGACTCTGGATCCAGACACAGCCCATCCTCAACTCATCCTGTCTGAGGGCCAGAAAAGTGTGAGACGAGGAGTAAAATCTCAAAGTCTTCCTAATAATCCTGAGAGATTCAGGGGGTGTGATGCTGTGCTGGGCTGTGAGGGATTCACAGCAAGCCGCCATTTCTGGGAAGTCCTTGTTGGAAGTGAGGAAGGATGGCGTGTGGGAGTGGCCAGAAAGTCTGTGAGGAGGAAGGAATACATCACCTTTAGTCCTGAGGAAGGGATCTGGGCTGTGGGGAAGTGGTCAGTGATGTACAATAATTCTGAAAATGACTGTTATCCTCCCCTGACTGCTAGTGGGGAGCTCAAGAGGATCCGAGTGTGCCTAAACCACACTGGGGGGCGAGTGGCCTTTTTTGACGCTGATCGAGCAGCCCTTCTCCACGAGTTCTTTGGAGCCTCCTTCTCTGGAGAGACCCTCCTGCCCTTCTTTTGGGTGTGTTCAAAAGGCCACCTCAAAATCTCTTCTTAAGAATTTTTCTCCACACCACAACAATCTATAAGGAAATATTATTTCTCAAGAGTCCCCTTTTTTGAGTCCTGTAAAGGCCTCTCTGAGCTCCCAGCTATCAAAACTGACTTGAGTAAAATGGAGACATTTCCCCCCACCATTGCCCAACATTCCTCCCCCCCCTTTGTATCTATATATCTAATAGACAAGGGTCCTTCTGCATGCGGATACTTATTTCCGCAGAACAAGGGCACCTGGAGGCTAAAGAGGTTTTTCTGCACACTTGAAGTACTCTCCAAGGTTGCAGAAAAATGCAAAAAGTTAAAAAAATACACGGGGGGGGGGGGGGTTAACGCCACCCAAAAAAAAAATAAGCCCTACCAAAATAAAAACCTGAGTTGTCTGCACTTGTGCAGTCTGAATTCGTGGTTCCTCGCACTGGACTTGGAGCTTCGCTCAGTGGCCTGCCTCCCCGCGGCCAGCAAGTCAGCCTTGGAGTAACGGGGCAGGGGACGCCGACATCACTGGGTCCTTCCCAGGCAGCTGGCCTCCCCACTGCCAGCAAGGCAGCCCTGAAGCCGCGGGGCAGAGGATGCCCGTTGCCAGATCCCTCCCAGGCGAGCAGCCTCCCCACTGCCAGAAAAACGAGGAAGCTGCAGAAAAGGAGGCCGAAGAGGGGGAGTGTGTGTGTGGGGGGGCAGACTGAGAAGGGGTGGGGGAAAGAGGACATTGTCTGAGAAGGGCTGGGGCAAGAGAGGGGTGGGACGTACAAGTGGTGAGTGGAGAAAGGGGGTGAGAAAGAATTCCTAGAGAAGGGGGTAGGGAGGAAAGCTAACATAGAAGGGGTGAGAGGGGGTGGTGAGGGAAGATTGAGAGATAAGGGGTGGGTGCAGAAAGACAGGAGGGAACTTTGACAGAGAAGGGGGGAGAGGGAAGCAAAGGTGGTGGAAAAAGCCTCCTCCCCGCAAGTTTCTTGCAGGTCTCCCCTTGTCATTTCTGAAAGCGACAGTTAACACCTTTCACACTGTAAAGAATAAGAGGCTTGTTCTAAAGGAGAGCTCCGAATAGAACCCCCTGGGCTCCTCTAGCCTCCATTCTCCTCAAGCATGAGAGAGGAACCACTGCACAGCCTACAGGGGAAGAAGAGACCCTGAACCTTTCAGTTACTATACGGGACCTCCTCTTTTATTTACTGGGCACCGTCTGTTAGGATTTGCCTGTGTTCAGCCTGCCCTTTTTGAGAGGCACTGAAGATCCTGCTCTGATCAAGGTTGCTGTTGTATTGCACTTGTAGTGCAGTTATTCCAGAGATGAAAAGGATTTATGCATATTGTAAAAGTGATGTTATGTTGAAAACTGCTGTTTGAATTGTGGGGCTGTCTTCGGGCGGTGGGGGTGGGAGAAGCCATTTCATAACTGTTGGACAAGCCACAAAAGGTGCTGTCATTTATTGGCTTGACCCATCCCCAGCTCTGCAGATGGACAGAAAAATCCGGAGGTGGATTTCCCTAGCCAGGGACCTGCTGGGCTATGTTTGCATTAAGGTTTCTCCTCCTGTTTTTGTGTCTCTTCAAATAATTATAGGCCCTTTTCATCCACACAGCCATCTCGCTCTCCTTTGTGTTTCCAAGAAATGGGTGCTCCTATTTTATCCTCGCCATGATGCTGTGAGGAAAGTTAGGCCAAGTGCGAGTGAGCTTCGCCCTGGAGAGTTTGGGTGCAGAGCTGGGGAGGGTGGGGTCTGGGAAGGGGAGGGACCGTGGGGGGGGGGCAAAGTGCCATAGAGTCCATCCTCTGAAGGGGCCGTTCTCTCCAGTGGAACTGATTTATGTGGTCTGGAGATGAATTGTAATTCTGAGAGATCTCCAGGCTGCACTTGGAAGCTGCCAGTCGTACAGCTGAGCAGAAATTTGAACCCAGGCCTATGATTTTATCAGTTCAGGTCTACCACACTGTGCAATGCTTTCAACATTGACAGACGTAGGAAGGTGTCATCTACATTCCTGGAAAATCTGGTGATAATAAGCAGGGGGCCCCATGAGATTTGCAGAGGGGAATCCCATCCTACCCCCGTGTTTGCTGTGCTGGCCACTGAACCACCATCCTGTCAATCTAATGTGCTGCCATCTCCTGCCTCATTGGTGCAGTGGTGGTGGGTCTCCTTCCTTCCCTCTGTCCCCGGCCTGCCCCCTTCCACTTGTGGGGCCACTGCCTCCACCTGTCTGGCTTACAGGGCAACAGCTCCCATTCCTCCTCCTACCTGACTGCCCACAGTGCTGGGATGGTGGCGGCGGCTGGGGCACATTGTATTTGGGGATGGGGCTGCCTACCGGCCTCCTGTCAAAAATGTTGCAGGAATATATGATATGGCAACAAAAAGAAATATGGTCCTTTTTTGTGAACTGTAGCTGGGATCACATTTATAACAAGTGCCTTTCCTGTTCCTACGCAAAGAGCTGTGAAAAATATTATCTCCTTTACTGAAAACAGCATCAATCATTTCTCTGACGTCATTTTTTTTGGTCCCATATCAACCTTGTCTCATTAAAGACTGACTTCATTTATCCCCAGTGTGAACCCAAAGGGGCTGATGTCATTCTCCAGTCCTCCGTTTTATCCCCCACAGTCACAATCCTGTGAATTGCATCTTGCTGAGATTGTGACTGATTCCCCATGAGCAGCTGTGCCGCCCTCGTTCTTCCGTTTCCCCTGGTTGTATTGGTCAGTTTCACACTCCTTGCTGCGCAGTGGCATTTTGACCTGCATCTGCCCCTGATTTCCCCCACGTCTTCTCGATCCTTGTTTTTTGAGATCGAGAAGATGTGGGGGAAATTGGGGGGGGGGTGCGGGTCAAAACATGGCCTCACAGCAAAGAGTGTGAAATTTACCAATACAACCGGGGGAGACAGAAGAGCGAGGGCAGCACAGCTCTGTCATCTTGGTGCTTGGGGGGGGGGTCAACAGTGGGATGACTTCTAATGTCCTGGCCCCACTGGTGGACCTCCTGATGGCACTGGTATTTCTGGCCACTGTGTCATACAGAGTGTTGGACTGGATGGGCCTTTGGCCTGATCCAACATTGGCATCTGTTATGTTCTGTTATGTTATGAGGGTGGCACAGCTGCTCGTGGGGAATCGGTCAGTGTAATTGGCCCAAGATTGCGCTCCAGGTTGCCGTAGCAGACTGTGGATTCAAACCTTGGTCTGACAGATCCTAGGCAGATGCTCTAACCACCTACACCACACAGACCGATAGCTCAAGGAAGTTCTCCCCTCTTGTCATGATCCTAGGCCTATAGTAGTGTAGAGACAGGTTAGCACCACATGAAATGAGATGTCTCAAAGGGTAAAACAGACAGTTGGTGAATGGTTAGGGTGTGATAATAGGCAGGCATCACCCAGGAGAAGAACAAGCAGACCTGACTGATAAGAGCAGACAGGCCACAACAAAGTAAAATGAAGGTCAAACCGCAGTAGGAAAACTAGAGTGGAAAATTCCTTAGACGCAAGTAACAGTATCCCCCCCCATTTCCCCCGTGTCTTCTCGTGAGTCTGCACAATAAGCTATTGAATATTAGAAGTAACACCCATGAATGCATAATAAGTCATTTACATGAACATGCAGTGCATGTAGAGCTATGTAGTAGGTGTCTGCCTCAAAGGAGGGGAGAGAGCACTCTGGCCGGGAACTGCAGGGTTAAATAAGCACTCAGAGGGGACTGCCCCCTTTGAGAATCCCTGGTGTTTGCTGCTTCGCAGAGACCTCCACTTTCATTGCAATTAAAGCTTTCTTTTTAATTCTTTCACTTTTGGCTGGTTTTAGTATTTCAAACTGTCTGACGCTTTCCAGACTCTGTATCTGATATAGCCTGTATCAGAGTAGCTATCAGGGCCTACATTTCCCAGGCCCCTTCTGGACCCTGTGATTGGTTTACAGGATTTGGAGAGAAAACTTAACAGGAACAGAGGGGTGGTGCCTGGGAAGAAGGAATAAAAAGGCCTGGCCCAAAGTGGGAGGGGGTTCACGCCCAGTAGGGTTGCCAAGTACTTACCACGAATCGGCGGGGGACACATGGTTTCTGGCCAGAACATTCCTGCGTGTAACACACCCGCGCCCCACTATGCTGTCGCCCAGACGTGACGCCAGTTTTCAGCCCCATTGCCAGAGCGTCACTCGGCTACGTGCCCAGCGTGCTGGCGTCACGTCTAGGTGACCGCATAGTGGGGCATAGGTGTTTTCTGCGCGGGAATGTTCTGCCAAGAACTGTGTCCCCCGCTGATTCGCGGTAAGTACTTGGCAACCCTGACGCCCAGGGAGCAGAGCTGGTGAGGCTGCTGAAGGAGGAATCCCCCTTCCAAAAGGGGTGAGTCAGTTTGAGGCCAAGTACCTGGAGAAGGCTACGCACAGTATAGTCAGAGGCATTAGGATTTCTTATTTCGTTGGTTTTCTTACCTTTACTGTGCTCATTCTTCCTTTATGCTATTGAATCATAGTTGTTAAATCTCTTTAATAAAACTAGTTTGTTACTCTGCTGGGTCCTCAGGACTCATTTGGTCACTTATAAGGGGAAACCTGCTGGAAAAGGAGTGTAGAAAGGGGTATGGTGGGTGCTCTGAGCCTCCCCCCCCCCCAAGGAGACTGAAAAGTACTGGGTTCGATGCATGGAGAGGCGGACTACGACATGCTGAACAGGTCACATTTATTGCATAGCACACACAAGACAAGAACTGGTCGCCAAGGGTCAACTATATACACTCACCCCAGACACACCCCTAGTCTCATTGGAGGGTTTAAATCTCCCGCCCAGTTCCTGTATGTGGACTAAAGGTGGCCCAGGATGCTTGGCCCCTATTGTTTGTGGAGCCAAGCTAGGGACTATGCACACAGACCCCTAGTGGCGGTCCGCGGACACAACAGAGGCCCATACCAGAGTGGTAGCAGCCATTAGAGAACCTTTATAGCTGCTGCCTGCGACAACCCTGTAAAGGGGACAATATGTTCTCTCTCTGCCTCTGCTGCCTTCCTCCTGGAGGTGGATCCAATGCGGCTTCCCTCCTCCTCCTGTCTTCCATTTTATCCTTACAACAAGAAGACCCCTTAGAAGTAGAGTGAGAGTGTGTGACTGGCCCAAGGTGACCAAGCAAGCTTCCATGGTGTGGTTGGGATTAGCATTGACTCTAAGACACTCTAGCCACACTGCCTTTGGAAGGTGAGAGGAGTTGTTAGATCCACCGTTGTTTTGGAAAGAAGATGTTTTTCACCCTCCCTGTCTGTACTGATCCCATCCTCTTGGCTTCTCATAATCAAGCCTTTGATTCCATTTGCAAAGAGCAGAGTTTCTGGACCTAACCTTGTCCAAGATCTTTCAATTCCCTTCATTTTTGGCTCTAGATATTTTGAGAATCCCATCTTTTTATTTTCTGATGTGTTATGCCTCCCAGACATGTGGTCCTTACATTATTAAGAGTTTATTTTAAAAGCACTATCTGTGGGGACAGCACTTGGCAAAGCACAGGAAACAGGTCTCTGCCCTGATGGCCTTGCAATGTAATCTTTGCAATGGAACTGTAATACTGCAATTTGTATGCCTGCGAAACTTATTGTGAATGATAAATGTTAATAAACAGAATGCCTGTAAACCTACAAATGTCCTTCTCAGAAAAAGTGTGATTTTCTGGGAGGGGCTTGAGAACTGCTCGGCCCCTCGGCCCCTGCCAAAAGAGTCACACCAGTCACTGCGGGCTCCCTGTTTTCCCGGCTCAGGTTCGATTGCTTGCTCTTCTGCCGCGGGCCCACCACAGGCATTGGGCGGTGAGTGAGCGGGTCCCGGGTGAGTGTAGTGCAGCCCCCGGGCAGTTGGTCGGGACGGGACGGGGAGTGGAGAGGTGATGGCTGAAGGGGACGCCTGGCCAAGCCCGTCCGCCTTCGCGCTCTGTCCGAGCTGACGTAGTAGAAGGCACCCAACGCCCATGCCAGAGGACCGTGCCACCCTTCAGAGGGTGGTGACCGTGCCCCCTCCCCCCGGCCATTGCCACTGCTGCCCCTCCGGCCCGGCCCTGGCACCGCCTCCCGCCAGCCCAGCCCGCACTCCGATGCCTTGGTCGGCCCTCTTCGCTCGGCACTCCACCACCTGCTCCCGCCCACGGAGCTGCCTGCCTGCCGCCACCCCTGCCCCACACAGCCCAGCCAGAGGCCCGGGGCTGCCGGCTCATTTGCTGTTTTGCCCAGAAGTGTAGGCCGGGCCGGGGAGGGGAGGCGCTGGCGAAACCGACAGGGCAGGCCCGGACAGGAGCATTCCCGTTCCTCCCCCTCCTGGGTCTCTAGCCTCTGCATCCAGATCTGAGCTTGCAGGGAGCGCGCGGGTGTTGCTGTTGTGGGAACCGCTGGGCTCACAAGGCTCAGAGAGGTGGGATCACATAGGAAGAGTTGGACCTTCTTCTTTTTAAAAATCAGCTTCCCAGGGGGGACGGGAGAGTTTCTCCCAAGTAAGGGGCGGGGGAGATCTGAACCGAGCTGTTTTGGAAAGGGACAAACGGGTGTGGTGACTCCCGGTAAGGCCGGCTCTGCCCTGCGCCCCTCCGCTTCCTTCCACGGTTCCCGGAGTTATTTTCTTCTCCTTGGTGGAAGCTTTCCCGGCTCCTTTCACCCATATTCGCTGGGGACACCCCCACCTCTTTTCCCCCACAGGCCGGCAGGGAAGTCTCTCCCCGCCCCGGTCTCAGGGGCGTCCCCCATACCAGTCCCCGTCAGTCTCCCTTCCCCCGTCCCTCCGAGGCGCCTGCAAATGCCAGCAGGAGGAGTGCCAAGGAGGCCTTTCCCTGCCAAGGTCCTCCTTCCTTCTCCGTTGATTGGGCGGCGGCAGAGAGTCGAGTTGCAGGAAGGGAGACGCCCCCATCGCGGCTTCGGGGAAGCAGGGAAACGAAACTAACTCAGTGCAGCCGGTCCCGGGAGCACCGAGGTCACCGGGTGACTCCCCTGGAGGAGAAGGTAAGAAACCTCTGTGGATTTTTTTTATTTACATTTTTTAATTATATATTCAAAATATTAACATATACAACAATTTCTGTAATAAACATTTCAGAGTAAGTAATTTGTAAGTACATGTTTTTTTTTGAGTAAATTTGCATTAAGCATAGTGGAGAATAACCTCTGTGGATCTTCAGTGCGAAACAGTTGTGATTTCTTTCTGCTTTCCCTGGAGGTTCGGTCCAGGGGAAAAGGAGTCCTTGCCGGAATCCAAATATTAAACCCATTTAATTTTAGGCCCCAGAGAAGTGGTAATATATCCCATCCGCTACTTCCAGTGGGAACGCTATAGCCTCTCCCTTTTTGAGATCTAGCAGCAGGGCTAGTCCAAGAGGTGTCGCTGCCAAAGTGGGAATATGCAGAGCTTGGGTCCCCAAGCTTTTTGAACCTGTGATGAGCGCCTTTAGATTTCTGACACAGCATGAAGGGCGGAGCCACAAAATGGCTCCTGCAGGAGGTGAAGCCCACTACAAAATGGGTCCTGCATCTTCCCTTCAGTCAGACAGGGAAGATGCTTGTGCTGTGGGACCAGCGGCTGGCAAAGTAATGTTTTAAAAAAATCTGCACAGCCAGTCAGCTCTCAAATGACCAGTCAGAAGCCTGCCTCTGCAAATGCCCTGCCCACTTTCTCAAAACAATTGGCGAGCCCCAGGAAAGGTGTTGATGGGTGCCATGGCACCCACAGCACCACACTGGGGACCCCAATGCAGAGGATGTGGTCCCCCCCCCTCCCAGCCACCAAAGTGCCTGCCCTTGGTGAAGAGGGGCACTCCAGTATCAAGCAACAGTAACTGTGAATCTGGAATGAGGTGGTGGGGAGCCCTGCAGGGACAGAGAAAGATGCATGTCCTTGCCAAAGCACTGCGTTACTGGCGATGTTGCCTGCTTCAGGGTCTAATGTTCCTCAACCCTTAAGAACATAAGAGACGCCAATGTTGGATCAGGCCAAAGGCCCATCCAGTCCAACACTCTGTGTCACACAGTGGCAGAAATACCAGGTGCCATCAGGAGGTCCAGCAGTGGGGCCAGGACATTAGAAGCCCTCCCACTGTTGACCCCCCCCCAAGCACCAAGATGACAGAGCATCGCTTGCACCAGAGCCCCTATCTATACCTTGTGGCTAATAGCCACTGATGGACCTCTGCTCCATATGCTTATCTAATTCCCTTTTGAAGTCGTCCATGCTTGTAGCCGCCACCACCTCCTGTGGCAGTGAATTCCATGTGTTAGTCACTCTTTGGGTGAAGAAGTACTTCCTTTTATCCGTTCTAACCCGACCGCTCAGCAATTTCATGGAGTGCCCACGAGTTCTTGTATTGTGAGAAAGGGAGAAAAGTACCTCTTTCTCTACCTGCTCTATCCCATGCATAATCTTATAAACCTCAGTCATGTCAACCCTTGGACCAGTGATCAGTACTGGGACAAATATGTTGACATTGTTCCAAAAGTGTCTTCAGAGCATTCCTCATTATCATTCAGAGAGTGTAGAAAGGGGAGCTGGGAGGTTTGCAGAATCTAGACTGAGGATAGAAAGTTTTCCATGTGGTGCCACCTACTGCAGCAGCCATTTTAGGTTGGCTTTGCCTCCTGTGGCAGCCATTTTGGGAAGGCACTCACCACCCTCTCTCAAAATTCAAAAGGTACCTGCAGGCTAAAAAGTCTGGGAGACCCTTAAAAGTAAACACTCACTTCCACTGTAGTCATCATAGGTATGTTTTGGAGGGTATTTGGGCCAGGATGTTCCAGTTCCCTTCACTGTTGGCTTTCTCCTCCTGCAGCAACTCCAGATACTGTCTGAGATCCAGCTGAGGCGTTAGGAGGCCATTTGCAAATTGTGAAAGAGAAAGAGTTCAGAAATATGGGGAAAGAATAAAACAAATGCTTATTTTGTTGTTTTTGGCATCAGACAGTCATGGCAGCTAGAAAGGAAAGAGTTTGCCAGAAGCACCAGGAGCCACTGAAGCTCTTTTGCGAGTTCGATGAAGCCCTCATCTGCGTGGTCTGTGAGCAATCCCAGGAGCACCAATATCATGACATCGTTCCTGTGGAGGAGGCCTCCCAAGCGTACAAGGTAGGGAAACTGCCAGATGGATGATGGAAAGGGGTGGGCATGTGGGTCCTACCCAGCTGATCTCCTGGGTGTCCCACAACACTTTTCATAAGGCAGCTCTTGGGCTTTGGGCCCAGAGTTGGAACAACAATCTCTGTCTTTGCTGCCCATCTCCTGGCTTGGCTGCTGCCTTGCTAAGGACTCTAGGGCACTCCTCAGGGCTAGCTGTGTTGATGTCTGCCCAACCGGTTGGCCTGCCAGGCCACCAGGGGGCAGCAGCATTTTGGTAGGAGGTTTTAACTGTTCCCCCTACATCTGGGGTGTCAAACATGTGGCCCGGGGGCCGGATCAGGCCCTCAGAGGGTATCTATCAGGCCCACAAGGGACTGGCTGCCTCCTGCTCCTTCCTCCAGTTCTGCTGCTGCATCATAGCTTGCTTTCCCAGACTCTCTCAGTCGCTCAGGAGAGATAGATAGGCAAGCTTCTGCTCCCTGCACTGGGCTGAGGCTCCTCCCCCTCCCAGATTGCTACAGCACAGACATTTTGGTGCAATAATTCAGAGCAAGAAGTGTCAGTTACCAGAGACTGTTAAATAAACAAAATATTGCAAGTGTGCTGATGTTTCAAGCATGTTTTTAAGTAAAAAAATCTCTGTGTTTGTGTCCTTTATAAAGTTTATATCTTGGCTACCTGGCAATATATTTTATGGCACACATGGCCTGGCCCGACAAAGTCCAATTTATTTCAAATCCAGCACTCATAACAAATGAGTTTGACACCCCTGCCCTACATTATCTTTCTCCATTATTAAAAATAAAATAAAATGCTGTCATGGAGTCCCTGTTAACCTTCCGGCCAGGCGTGTAGCATGGGAAACAAGACATCCTGTGCTTATGCCTAGTCTGGCCTTAGATGACAGTTTTGCTTTTTATGTTTTATAGTAAACTTTATAGAAAAGAAACAAACCTCAATTTTGGGACCTTTTCCCCTCCTAGGATCAGTTCTGCACTTATGTGGAGATTCTGCAGAAGGAGAGGAACAAAATCCTGGCGTACAAAGCCAGTCTAGTGAAGGAGAGCCAAGACCTGCTCGTAAGTGTCACTATGGCTGCGAAGTGAACAGTGACTGGAAACTTTCAAATGCAGAAAACTCAGATGAGAAGGCAGCCTTGGGAATGGCTTGGCCTCCCACAGGAAAGTTAATGAAAGACAGTTTAGAATTACATATTGAGAATATTAAGAGGAGCACCTTTCCTCCCAGATGTCTGCAATTAAAAGGTTAGTTTGCCATAGCAGTGCAAAAGCTCCATGTGGAAGTAACCCTGGTGTCTGTGTGTGTGGAGACGTGAGAAGCATCTTCAGCTCTTTTTGTCTGGAACAGGCACTGGAAACAAACACAGGGGGAAAAAACACTGAGTAGAAAAATTGGAAAACTCACACAAGAAGGCAGCCTCCTCTTGTTACCCCAAGACAGCTTTACTAAACAAATATCTTGCCTTTGCTTTGAGTGGGGAATATGCTACAAAGGCAGAACTAACAAGACGATGGGGTATAGCGTGGATCCGCTATCAGTTTTTACGGAGTTAATTCCCTTTGGACCCTTAGTTTAAGGCAATGACCAGTCCAAATTGTAACAGAAATGGGTTTTATTCAACTAATAATAATAATCCAGATTTTTACATTCAGATCGGAGGCTGCAAGCATACAAGAAGATATAGAAAGTGGTTAGCAGACAAATAGAGGGGGTTGAGGAATGTCAGGGTTATACTGTACCTATCCTGAAGAGATGAAGGAATCCAAGGTAAGAGGAGAGGAGATGTGTGGACCGACCAGCAAGATCACAGAGGACCTGAGTTGTGCTCAGGGGTGTTAGCTTTGTGCGCACCCAGCTAAAGTCACACTGGGCATGTGCAAGACTGGGTATATTTATACCCCAAGATGTATCCTGAAGGTATGTTAAAATGTGGCAGCTAGTTTCACAATGGATTGATGGGATTCCCATTGTGGAATGATAGGGCAATCTGGTGTTTCCCTGGTACCAGACAGAGGAGAAAATCCTTTCCTTAATGTTTGACAGGATGAAGCTGAATGGATTACCATTCTTTGTTGTTGTTGTTCAGTTGCACAGTCGAGTCCGACTCTTCGTGACCCCATGGACCAGATCACGCCAGGCTTACCTTGATGGGTCTGGCATAGATGAGAGAAATGCAGATATTGTAGACAGATATATGGAGACAGGTTTGAGAGGATTATTCCAAACGTATTTCCTGAGCTCCAGGGTGTGAAAGGATTTGGGACATGAAACATACAACATATTCCATTCTGACGGAGACACAGTGACCACTGGCTCTTTGTCCCTGCTTGCCTATACATTTGAAAGACAAAAGATTGGCCATTTGGTCTGTAGAAGATGCCTGAGGCAAAAGTTCAGGTTTGTCCATACTTTGTCTTTATGGACTGAGCTGACAGGAGTTGTCCATTTGACAGACAAAAGATTGGCCATTTGGTCAGTAGAAGATGCCTGAAGCAAGAGCTCAGGTTTGTCCACCCTTTGTCTTTATGGACTGAGCTGACAGGAGAGAAGAGTTGGGGAGGGGGGCCGCATCGCATGGAGGATGTCTGACCCTGCAGCTGGCCTGGCCCTTGGCCTAAGCTTTCCCAGCTAAAAAGTGGTTCTCCTAGCCTCCCAGCAAAAGCCACTGTTTTAAGCCAAGCCTGGCTTTATGAGGGCACTACTTGTGGAGGTTCAGAGGTTGTTTTGGGGTGTTTCTCTTTTGGGGAAAACCACCCCAGGTACGGGGTCTGTGCTGCTGGTTACACTCTGGTTTGGAATGACTTGGTTTCCAATGGAAGAGTGAATGAAAGACCACTTAAAATGCGCTTTTGTGAATATGAAGGGGCGCACCTTTCCTATTATATCTCTGCAGTGAAAAGAGTTGGGTGCCATACGAGTGCTTTTGTGAATATGAAGGGGTGCACCTTTCCTATTATATCTCTGCAGCGAAAAGAGTTGGGTGCCATACTAGTGCAAGAGGTCCTTGTGGAAGGAACCTTTGTGTCTCTGGGGGCGGGATAGACATGAGAAGCTTCTTTGCTTTCTTTGTCTTTGGCTGCTTCACGTGTTTGAGTATTGTAAAGTAAAACAGTACTCAAAGAATAAAGTAATGTAAAGATTATTCATGTGGACTTTCAGAAATTTTCTCTTTTCCTACTGAATGTTGCTGTGATCTCCAGGAAGAGCAAAAGTGCGCTTCTGTAAGGAGCCTCCTCTGGGACCTTTTCCCACTGCAAACACGGGCTGTATTCTCCTCCTTTTCTTCTTTTTCCATCTTAGAAGCAAACCAGGGGAGAGCAACAGAAGACACTGATCAAATTCAGGCAACTACAGAAGTTTCTGGAGGAACAAGAGAAACTTTTGCTGGCCCAGATGGAAGAGGTGGAGGAGGAGGTGGCAAAGAAAAGGGACTGGCACCTGGCCGGAATCTCTGAGGCCCTCTCCTCTCTGGAAGGCCTCATCCGGGAGATGGAGGAGAAGAGTCAGCAGCCAGCCGAAGATCTCCTGCAGGTGAGGGGGTGGTGGGAACAGCCCGGGCTCCCCGTGGGGAGAAGGCTGCCGCCAGACCCTCTCTGTGCCTCTTTCCCCTGGGGAGAAAGCAAACAAGCCCAGTTTATGTTGCTAGCAAGTTATCAACTCTGCACATGGGCTGCTTTCCACTCTGCCCCTTTACATCTCCAGCGAGGGGCAGGCTGGACAATCCCTGGGGCCCTGCGAAACTCCACCCCCTGTGCAGATGTGATGGCATTTATGCCCAGACCCAGTGGATAGATTACTATAGGGTTGTGACAGTAAACAGTGTTTCCTCTAAGCTGAGTTAGTGTGAGCTAGCTCACAGTTTTTTAGCCTCCAGCTCACACATTTTTGTCTCAGCTCAGGGAGGACGGCTCCAGAGCAAACTAAATTATGCAGTGGCCAAATTGCTCATTCACAACTTTTAATGCCAGTAGCTCACAAAGTAGGATTTTTGCTCACAAGACTCCACAGCTTAGAGGGAACATTGACAGTAAAGCCTGCTGCACTAATGCCTTGCGCTTATTTTAAAGGAAGTGCAGGCTGCACATTTCCAGTTATAATTCTGCAACAGTAAGTACTTGATTATTTTTAAAAAATGAAAGCTGGGGATCAGTATGTTGTTACACTGCTAGTGTAAACTAGCTGTTATTTTTAAGGCTGGGAAATGCCCTCCAGCGAAAAGAAGGGAAATCACAGCGACGCATTGCTGAGGTAAGGAGTGTTGCTGGGAGTGCCTCTGTGCCTGTGGGTGACCACAAGGGGGGCACACCCTAATCTGAGGGCTTCCTGCCTTCCACGTGAGGGAAAATCGCATAGTGAATGTTGCCACTGTTGAGTTGTCAAAGCAGATCGCCCAGCTCTGCTCTGAAATGGCTCCGCTTTGTCTGCTGATATTAACCTCACAGCGATTTTCTCCCACTTCATGAAGACCTACCCCAGTCTCTGAGTGAAGTCTGCTAGCTGGACGCAAGCAAAAGGCCAGAGTGCAGAATCTTCCAGAACCTGAGGGGGTCTTCCTGGTCTGGCCTTTTAGCAGGCACTGAGGTCTCCCTTCTTCCTCTCTCTCTCTCTCTCTGCCTTTTTCTTTAGGATGCCAGAAGCACCTTGCAGAAGTAAGTGGACCTTTAACATTAACTGTCTTAATGCTGGGAGTGGACTGGGAAGCCTGTGGAGAACGTGGTCCTTCAGGATCCTGGCTGAGGGCCAAATCAGGTGTAACCAAGATCGTTGCTCTCCATCCGTCCGTCAGTGGGAAGCAGCTTCTGTGCAGACTCTCATCAACGGGAAATCATGCACTGAAATGGGTGTGTGTGTGTGTGTGTGTGGGCTGACATCTAGCTGTGCATCTCTAGAACAAGGATCCCCAACCTGGGGGCTTGGAAGCACCTTTGGAATTCTCAACAGAATATAAGTAGCACACTGTGAAAACAGACATCTTCACAAATACTAAATATATTATAATAACCAGGGCTTTGGGGGGGGGGGAGGTCCCGGAACTCTCAAGAGGGAAATGAAGTCTTCGATCTGTATACTGAAAGCTACTGAACTTTTAAACATTTTAAA